TCATGTTTTGGGAGAGACAGTCTGATACTGCTTGTGCACCCACCTCCCTCCCTGCGTGCGGGCACCTCTCTGGACAGCCCAGTGAGGGCAGAGGGGTCCTCGGGGAGGGGGAGGGTGTGAGGGCAGAAGGAGGCAGCCTCTATTCTCACAGTGATAACCCAGCGGAAAAGCCCCCCCTCCCTCCCCCTCTCGGGGCCCGGGGCCCACTGCTAAGTGCCAAAGAACGGCTGCGAGAGCTGCTTCACCCTGGAGCCGGTCAATGGGGCTTTGTTTTTGGCCTCCATGAGCCGCGCTCCCCGGTTTCCTGCCGCCCCCGACGTGTGTACGCGTGGCTCCCCCGTTTCCAAAGCAAAACACGGCAGCGAGGGAAGCAGACGGGGGCTCCTGGAGCCCCGCGGAAGAATTTCCTTAGATTCAAGCACAATCAACGGGATACGCACAGCTTTCACAGGGAGACGGATCCACACACACACACACACACACACACACACACACACACACACACACACACACACACACACACACAATCAGGGCCTGGCCTCTGTGCCAGCTTCCGCCCAGCTCAGCCCCTTTGTTCCACTTTATCGCCTCAGCAGATCGTGTCCCGGGGCCAACAGAGTAGCGGACCTCTAATCGGGCCCCCCGAGGACCTGCAACCGGACTGGACCAGCGCCTCTGCTCCCCGGGGTGGGCAGCTCCTCGCTCTTCGACTGTCCCCCAGACGCTCGGCGTTCTCCCCTACAGCTATCGGCTGGTTTCGGAAGCACAGGGAAAGCGCCCTCCAAGCAAAGGCAACCCTGCCGTATTCGAGGAGCTCCTACCCCTGCCTGGGCGAAGCCAGCGGTGACCTTTCACAGCGTCGAGCCCTGCTCCAAGGTGTGCTGTATCACTTCCTCTTCACCAGCAGCACAGGCGCGGGGGGGGGGGGGCACGCCGGCGGTCCGCTTTGTGCCAGACGTCTTTTTATAGCCGGCGTGCCATCCGGCGCAGTCGGCCTGGGGGAGCTGTCCGAGAGGAAGGGGCCTGACGTCACAGGCGTGATGAAGTGCCGACAGGTGGCTCTTTCATCTCCAAGTCCCTGTCTTCCCCTGCCCATCCTGCCCCCCCCTCCCCCCAGAGCGGGCCTCCGGGAGCCGGGCCGGGACAGAGCCCCACTCGCTCAGCTCACCTGGGGGCTCCTCAGGGTCTCGTCTGGGGGGGCGCTGAGGTGGGGGGCTGGCACACACCCTAGGGACCCAGCACCGGCTGCACAAGGCCTCTCCGGACTGTTTTCCCTTGATCTCACAAGGAAGGAGGTGACGGAGTCTTTGAAGGGCAAGCAGTCAATATGAAATATGGGACTGTGTCCGTCTCCCACTGCCTGGAACCAGAAATCTGTTCGATGGAGATGCTGTCCTGACGAACCCCAGGAAGAGAGCAACAGCTGTCCATGGGCGCCATCTTTGATGAGAAGACTATTGCCCTGGCTCTGCTCTGCTTCCTAGGGCTGTGCTGCTTCGCACTCACACATAATTCTGATGTAATTCCTAGCCCCCTGGGGTAACGGTGCACCCTGGGACCCAGAGTCGGGGGGGCTGCGGGCAGCCAGTCCTTTTCTGCTCTCCTTCCCACGGGCAGCAGGTGAAAGGTTAAAGGTCACCATGTCCTAGTGTGCATCAGCTCTCCAGGTCCCCCGCCCTCAGCAGCTCCTTTTTCCTGCCCGCACGCCAGGCGTGGCCAGGTCAGCGGTCACTCTGAAGAGGCTGTGTAGTATTCACACCAGGGGCGTGAGGTCAGAGGCAGGGAGGGGAGGTGCTGACGTGGAGTGATGGGGTCTCTTCATGTGCCAGTAGAGAGGGATAGACAACTGATCAGGACCGGCATATCAAATAAAACTGGCTTCATCACTCTGCTCTCCTCCCCACTGAGAGCTGGTGTGTGGGGAGAGTACTGGAGCATCATCCAGGTGGGGCTGCACACTGGTGGGGGTGGTGAGGAGTCCCCATTACCTATGCAGAGCTCTGAGTGGAGTGTCCAGACAGGAATTGATCCTGCACAGTGACTACAGCCTGACGCAGCACAGCGCTGTTCCTGCGCTCAAGGAAGGAACAGCACTAAAGGGACTTTTCCCCACAGAGATGTGTACCTTTTCCTGTAACCGAGAACAGAGACACCACACAAAACACGCCACCCACCCCCACGCACACCTGATCTCAGACATGACGACAGTCGGACGGGGGGGGGGTTTACTGCCTTCTGGGATCATAAACCTGAGCTCTCGGCTACAGGTGCAGTGCGTCCAGGGTTAATCCTGTAATTGCCTCAGTAAAACCGAGACTCTTCGCCCTCTCTACCTGCGCATGAGTCACTGCAGAGAGAGGCTGCCAACATTCCACACTCCAGCGCCCGCGGAGACTGGCAGGGCGCAGCGCAGAGCGACGCCGGGGCTGGGGTCACGTCTTACTCCCCGGAGAAGAACCCCCACGTCCCCCAAGAGACTCCTTTCCGGAGAAGACCAAGGGGCGCCGCTCCGGGCGCAGCTGCAGCCAGAAACCAGCCGGAGGGGTGTCCTGGGGTGTCCCAGGTTTGAGCACAGCCGCCCTGCTCCCCAGAAGGACCCGATCGCGTTTCCCCATCGGCGCCGGCTGGGTCAGCTCCTGCAGTAAACCGGGTCCGAACGGAGGATCCGGGGAATGCCACACCACAGGGGAGCTTCTGTCTCGAATCTTCCCCCCCCCATGAGAGGAACCTGCTGATGTGGCACACGAGGAGGGGGGGGGGCGCTAAAGACCGCTTTCCCTGGGGATTTTCCTCATCTCCACCGAACCCCCCGGCTGATAAACAGGACACGGCCGATACTACAAAGCCAGCTGCTCCGCCTGTCTCCGGGTGCTCACTCCCAGCTCTGTGTACGCCACAGTATCCTGTTTTCCTCAGAAGGAGACCAGGGGGTTTACAGGGGATATCAGCTGAGGACTGAGGACTAGAGGTTTTTTTTTTTCCTCCTGTTGCATAAAAGGGGCTTTGTGGGGCTCAGGTTTCCATCTCTCACAGCGCCGTGACCCCGGGGAAGAGTGTGCTCTGCTGCACCAGCACTTCTGCGTTCCACACAATGGGATTTCCTGCCCGGCGGGGGGTCGGACAGCCCTGATCCCGGAGCTCCATTCCAAGCACAGGCTCACCTGACTCCGACACTTCCAGCCCGGACTAAACCGCACAGAGAAACATGAGGTTTTGTAACTACAGCACCATACAACTTGAGCAAAAGCGTCGGGACCAAACCGAGGGGAAGCAGAGACAGAGACGCACTTTCTGCTGCACTGCAAGAGCTGCTCTGGGATTAGACAATCATTCTGCCCTGTTGTGCCCGTGTGCCATAGACTTCCAGAGGCCATTTCTGTCTGGAATGATGTCTCCTTAAACATTTTATAATAACTTTGTACGTACAGTATAGACAGTAGAGGCCCGGTTCAGGTCGAATTGAACACTTCCAGTCCCAGAATTCCCACATCTGCCAGAATCGGAACAGCTTCCAGTCCCACAGAGGAGGAAACTCAATGGAGCCACGGTCTCTCGCCCAGTAAAGGCCCTGCCACGTGTCCAGAGGGCCCAACAGCAGGTGCAGGGCTGTTGTGATCAGCCGCTTTTACTCAAGGTGGGCTTGGGGACGCGTTACAAGCCCGACTGAACTCTGGCGAGCGAGGAAGTGAATATGCACACTGGACAGCAGATATTCCTCACTGGAGACAACAAGCATGCTGATCAAAGGTCTTCATACACATCGATGGTTTCTTTAGCAGGGGGTAACCCCTGTATCGAATGCAACATGGGGAATTATTGTCCCTGTTAACACTTATCCCCCGAGAAGAGTTTAAATGTTTTCACACAGAGACCTTGAAAGCAAGGAAAAAAAACGTTACAAATGAGCAATACAAATTTTCACAGTACTGTGAAAAACTCGCTATCTGCCAAGTCATGTTTTTTAGGGTCATGAAACAGTCCTGAGGTTTCGGGAAACGCACATGGGATTGTTGTCCAGGAGCTCTGCCAGGGTTCGAGAGAGGGTTCAGCTTGGTACCAGTCCAAGGCCTGACGCAGAATACAAGGTAAGAGCTCAGTCCCCAGAGTGCAGAGAAGAGCGACCAGATGTGCTCACGCACTGAAAGGAATGTCCCACACTGACAACCTCTTCAGTCTGAGCTGAGGGGATCACAAAGGACACGTTTCAGGCTGCAAATTCCTCAAAGGCACAGTCAACCCAATTAGTTCAGAGTCAGCAGTGTAACCGGAAGACGCAAGTGGAAACTGCATTTGAAACCGAGAACAGCAGGTATATCTTTACACCAAGGATGGTAGGTGTCTGCAACAACAACAACAACAACACCCATGTTGTCAGTCTATACCCCAGCTTCCTTCTGAAAATGAGAAAACAAGCACAGGAGAAGGGACAAATACCTGTCACCTTTCTCGTATTCGTGTATCCGAAGACAGTCAATCAAACACCTGTTCATACATCTAACCTCTTCTTTCGGTTTCGGGTTGCAGGGGAGCCAGAACCCGTCCCAGCAAGCAAAGGGCGCAGGGCAGGGTATACCCTGGACAGGACGCCAATCCTTCGCAGGAGACACACACACACACACACAGACATACACACACCCACCTCGGGCCTCATTCAAACCTTCACAGTGCGTAACCACGCACGCCCTGCAGCCCAGTGTGGTTTCAAACCGAAGGAGGACCGACTATAAGTGAAACACCAACCTGTTTGTCTGTTCCTGGACTCCAGGTCGCCGAAGGAAAAGGAACTGCGCTTCCTCGGACAAACAAGACGGACGCCGACAGTCCACTTCCTCCACAGCACCACAAACCAATCATTAATAAAATATATATCGAGTTGTATTCGTTTCCATTTAAATGCATTCTCGAGCTTCACAGGAAGTTTTCACAGAATTCCATCGCCATCATTAACTCAGAACACTTGTGCCATTTTAATTCCTATGAATTTTGTAGGACGTTTTGGAAGGCCATCGATCTCATTCAGTACTCACAGAAAACAGACTATCCTTTCTTGTTTTTCGGTTTATTTTGGAAAAAATATAGATTTCTCAGTTTCTGAACATAATAGGCACATAACATAGACATATATACACAATTCTCTTTATAAATACACCGTATTTACAAAAAAATTAAATTATATAGTAAAGATATATCCAGGCTTTTGTACACATTGCATTGTTAAATTAGAAAAATAAAAAGAAATGCAAAAAAAAGGAACAAAAGACGCTTTTCAAACGAAGAAGAACAAAATGGAGAAAAAAAATTCAAGTCCTTCATTCTGCAGGGAACAAAACTGGGGTTCAGCGGGGTATCGAAACTCGCTGCGTACACGCGCTAAAAAACGTCAATCATTTAGGTATTAAAAACATACAAAAATATTCATTTATTTCAGTGTTAAAAAATAGTACCTTTCTTCTCCAACCAATATTTCGTTGTGTGAATTATTTTGTCACACGCACTCTTTAAAAAAAAAAATCAGGCACTTATTTGAACCCTGGGTGCGATCTTGAATCTGCGGGACCTGCAGCCGTGGAGCAGCGCGGGACTCTGCTCGTGCAACCTGCCCCTTACCAGCCCCCCCCCCACCCCGGCTCGCGATCCTGGGGGGGGACAGAGGGGGCCCGAGACCGGAAAGGTACTGTTCATGACTGAAACCAGCCCCCCGTGTGCAGAGACGCACTGTTCCGCAGTTCGCTTTCACACAGGTACTGGCAAAAAAAAAAAAAGGTCCTGCCTTTTTACTTGGGGAAAAAAAATCATTGGTTCTCCGCATTATTTGTGGAATGTTTTAATGCTAAAAAAAAAAGAAAAAAAGAAGAGAAAAAAAATGTAGTGCAAATATCTTCCGGCTAGTTCTTCACTATAGCCTCCTCTCCTCCCAGACAGTCCGAAGTATTTTCAACATACAGGAAAAAAAAATTCTTCTTTCAAGACCAGTGTCAAAAGTAGTCCATTTCCAAACGAGCAGCATGAATAAATATTAAATAGATAAAGATATAATATATTCTCTTAAAATTCTTTCCAATTGTCCGTTAAGAATGTAAACTTGTGCGGGCACGGTGCGGCGCGGCGCTCCATAGCTCGGAATACTGTTGCTTAAACCTGAGGAAACACAAGAGACAAGGCAGAGCCGCAGTTAGGACATGAACCGAAACCACAGCCGCACAGAGAACAGGCATCGGCTGAAATCCGAACCCTTTCCCACTAATCCAGCATTCCCGGCACTCTCTGATCTCGAGGTCAGAGGTGCTGCCCACATTTCCCCAGGTCCCTCAAGACCTCGAGTTACTGCTGCTGCAGCTCCTCCCTCGGACATTCGTCACATTCAGCCTCATTTTCCTTTCCTACACGGCCCGTACGCTCGGACCGGACCGGACGGGACGGACCGGCCAGATTGCGTGTCCGCATTGTTCGGCGCTCTGCCCGAAACGCCAGGTGTTTCTAGCCTGTGATCCCAGCCCGTCCTGCACCGCACACCCATGAAGAACGACAGCTTGGCCAGTTTCCAGAGGGCTCAGGCCTCACTGCTGTGGCAGGAGCAAGGGCTGAGGACCCTTGTCCAGCAGCCAGCGGCCAGCAGACTGAGCAGCCTCTGCTCCCTGTGCACACGCGCACACATACACACACACACGACAAATGCTTGGCCTCCTTCAAGAAACGGCTGACAGATCCTGGAATCCGTTAGTCGCTCACAACCCGTGGGGCCCCAACAGCCTCCTCCCATTTGGAAATTCGGCATTACCCTCCGGTAAGAGCTCTTATTGGAAGGAGCAGGCAGCTCCGCGCCGCACTGCCTGGCCTCCCGGGGTCAAGGCAGAGGGAACGAGAGGAAATCCTTACCTCGGTAGCAAAGATGCACTGTTCCATCTGCTCGGGGATGATGTAGACCGGGTGGTACAGGCTGTCCTTCTGGAAGCTCAGCGGTGGGACAGAGATGATGTGCTCTGATTTCTTCCTGCACGGGAAAGCCCAACAGAAGAAAGACGCATGAGAAACCGTGTCTATATAAATCTCCAAATGGGACAACGGGACAGGAAGGCAAAAGACAGTTCTCTCTGTTGCAGGCATGCTTCAAAATTGACTGGTCAGCACCTGGGCCCCCCCGTTTCAGTACTGGTCTTCACTAGATCTGTACCTGAGGTGACCTGGACACTTAGCACAATTTCTCATGCCAGCGTCAAAGGCAAAACTCTGGCTTTTAGGACTTGTGTTGACAGTCTTGAATAAGATATGCCCCTGATCAACAGAGGTGATAGATACGAGAGCAACCACAAGACTGCACAAGCAGCATGCTTCTGGATATCTATCTGTACATCAGCAGCGGACAATACATCCTTTTGTTTTAACTCGCATCTCTCTTAGGAACAGTTAGGCTTTTATTACGTCTCTATAACTCATGCGATGAGTTCCCTCCTACATCAGTGAAGAGCAGTTCCTACAAGCCGCGACCTGTGTGTAGCCACTGACAGCAAACCGAGCACAGGCCTGCGTGTGCAGCTCCGAGCCTCCCTGTGCCAGGCAGCCTGCCTGCTGAGACTCTTCAAGGACACGCGCACAGCCAGGCTGCAGGCTCCTACACCCTGTCCTCACTCACGCCGAGCGGACAGCAGCCTGCCAGCTTTAACCCTCAAGAACCCCTGCGTGTCCAGAAACTCCCCTGGTCATTTTCTTTAGGGCACCCTTTGAAATTCCCAGATTATTTTCAGGTCTCCTGGGTTTGTTTACAGCTGCAGGTCTTTCTTCTGATCTGATTAACAAGGGGGGGGGGGGGTATTCTTTTATTCCACTTGTTTAGAAGTGGATTAAATCACCGAGCAGTCAGAGACTGGGGAGAAAGTCAGGAGACGAACCTGGTACCACGAAAGACTCGGCAGGGAAGCAGGTGTTCTAGACAGCACAAAAAGACCCCCCCCCTCCCCCCAACACGCAGCAAGTGCTCCTGAAACGGCAGAACCCGAGCCAGGGAGAACCCGGAGGCCCGCGGAGGGGAAAGGGGAAGAGCGATGCCGACGCGCAGGAACACTTACAGGTCGAACTTGCTCTTGGGGAGAGGCTGCTCGTCCGCCAGGTTGTATCCCACGAGCTTCTGCTTGTACCCGGCCTTGTCGCCGAGGCCCTCGGCGCTCAGCTCGGCGTCCTT